AGGGTGAAATCCTTAGGTAGTGTCTTATCTGCTATCTCATCTGCCTTTTAAAATTTTGACTCAGAACCGTGTGATAAACTTCTCTCATCCTCATTTTTAATTTTTACCTTTTTCTTCAAGGAAGGTCGGCTCATTCTACTTTTTGGAACCAACATTCCTTTCACCCCAATTCCCTAAGTCCTCCATCTTCTTCTATAATTCATGTGTAGCAATTTCCAATATCTATTTTTCTTATGTTTTATCTTACTTTTAATGGGTTAATGTTGGTTTTGTCCATTGCTAACAGTGTTTTCCTGTTGAGCATTCATTATATTTTTCCCTTTTAGTTTAATTTAGTGCTAAGTTAATGCTCTCATATTCCCAAAATTAAAAGACACTTGCCCTAACAATACAAACACATTTTTTGGCTCAAAGAAATATCATTGTCACTAAAGGTTGATAGACAAGATTATTATATAGGCTGGGAATAGACGCTTTCATAATTCCAATCAGTTAGAATTAATCAAAAATTGGCCTGATTACTATTAGATTTGGATTAGGTTGATTCAAGTCAGATTAATTGGGTTAAACAGATCATATTCATGTTGATATTATGTCCCAAAAAAAATTACATTATCCATATAATAAATGGGTTAGATGGGTTGAGTTTAGGTTATGGGGGTTTGATCAAATCAATTTCAAGCATAAACCAAGCCCATCTAATTTAGGAATTTATTTCATTAATTTTTAAGATTATTCTGAGAAAGATGTATAATGAATTGAGACATTTGAAACCTCCAAACTATACATTTTCGATTCAATAATCACAAATTTAAAATACAATGAATGTTTATATGAAAAAGGTCTATTCCTGAAGTGTCAAAGAGATTCATGGGAGGATAATAACTTTAAGCCCTAACATGATCCCCATTCAATTAGATTGATACCTAAGTAGTCCTAACCACCTTGAGAGTAACTGCAAACTTATAATTTTCCTCTGTCTATTTTCCAATATCTCAATCTCGATACAATCGGGAAGGAAAATTAGCACCATTCATAACGGGATTAAGTAAATCCTACATGTAGCCCCTTCCATTTGGGACTTCTTTAATTGCAAATGAACAATATTGTTAAAATGCCGTTCCAAAATAGGCAGAAATAACCCTCCAATATAAAACAAGAAAGCCTAGCATCAAGCTAAAATTACCATTTCATTAATTGCTTAAAAAACCATTCAAAAATCTAATGTAAGGAAAGAAAAAGGTGTTCATAAGAATATGGTAAAGGCCTTCTCCAAATAATATATATCAAGTAAGGCATCGTTCATCAGACAAATCAAGATAAACAGTACCATGCTATGCTGATCCGCCGCTGGAAGCTCGAGCAGGGCAATCCTGGATCTCCACAGATAAAAATTCTGCATTGTGGAGAGAATCCTTGTTTGGATCCAAAACAACGAAATTACAGAATTACTTGATGCACATAACCCTAACCTTGAAAGAGTCGAGCATGTGCCTGTAGATCCCTATAAACTAAATCTGGAGTATCTGCATAACACCATCGAAGGAAGTATCAGAGAGGCCGCCATCGCCTTTAGGGACGAGGCCGAGGGTACATCGAAGACCTCGTGATCAGTGAGGCGAGCGATGGAGGATAATTCTTCGTAAGGAAGAGTGTTGTGACACTTGGGGAGCACGGAATGGTTGAAGGGTTTGTCGATGAGTGGGTTGGTGACGGCGTCGCGAGAGTACGATTTGACGGTGATCATGTGTCAGTGGAGAATAATGGCATGGCCGGCCATGCGGGCGATGGGGAAGGGTAGTCCGTAGTCGTGAGTGGAGGGGGATTCGGTTTCTCCAGCTTCTTCCTCATGCTTCGCTTCATCGCATTCCAACCCATTGGCCCGCATTGTGGCATCGTGTGGGAGGCGAGGAGGAGAACCATAGGTTCCAAAAGTCTGACTTCAACGGAAAAAATATAACGTCAGTGCTCCTTCGGATTGGAACAATCGCATTGTTATAGCTTTCTTAGAGGAATATTCTTATACAAATATTTCATATGCCTTCTTTATGTAAAATT